TTTTTTTTTTTGATGTTTTTATTAATTTGTTTTCAAGCGGCATTTGCATTAAATATTAAGGTGTAAATATATTTTGCAAAATTTACTAAATATTTTATATTGTTTGTAATTTTATCTTTCCCATTTTCTTGCGTTATATATTTATTGTTTTTTATTTTAAAATTAAGCTCATATGTTGTAAACAAAAACTTGATAACTATTTTATTTAACACTCATGTTTGTAAATAACATATTCATTTATTTTTATTTTCAAAATTGTTAATTCGACACCATATTTCATATGCAAAATAAAAAATAATTTTTTCGTTGATATTAGATAAGCTACTATTTATTTATATATCAATATTAATGTAAAAAATAATTATAACTAACCAAAAGCTTTCTATAAATAAGTTATAAATATATATACTATATGAAAAATAAAATGATGTAAAAAATATTATTTTTTCAATATATTGAAATATTCTTATATGTTAAACAAAAAACTTGATAACTTTATATTTAATACTCATTGTTGTAAATAACATATCCATTTAAGTTTATTCCGATAATTGTTAATTTAACACCATATTTCATATACAAAATAAAAAATAACTTTTTCTTTTATATCGAATAAGCAAATATTTATATATAAATATTAATGTAAAAAACATAAAAAATCAACTCACCCAAAAGTTGTTTATAAATAAGTTATAAATATATTATATATACTATGTAAAAAAGATTGCATAAAATAATGTAAGAGCATATATTTTTTACAATATATTGAAAAAATCTAAGATAGTAAGTTGACCTTTTAGTTTAATAAGTTGAAATCCTATTAAAGGAAATTTAAAACAAAAACAAATGAAATTAAAAAAAATATTCAGATCATATTATTTTTTAAAAAAACGCTTGAATCTTTAGATTTTACTCTACAATTAAGGTTTCTTTTTCTATTTCTTAACTAACTAGTACAAATCCCGTGCGATGCACGGGGTGAGCAGTCTTAAGGCTATTTGCTCAAACTTTGTTATTTTTTTGTGAATACAAATACTAAACAAAATAGAAAACTAAGAATGTTATATATTATTAAATACCTCTTTTTAAAAAGAAACTAGTACGTTTAACAATCAAAATTTCAAATATAAAAGTTTTTATTTTATTTTAACTATGCTGTAAATATAAAAAATAAATATTTTTTTCCCAATTTTTAACTATATAATAATTATGTAAACACATATTATAACTAGGACGATAAGAGTAAGTAAGTGCACCAGCCCTATCATTTTTTGTAAATCAAAATTAATGGGCCAGATTATAATAATATATGTTGTCAATAAGAGCTCATTATAATATCCTAGGCCAACATCACAATTGAAGCCTGACTGCTTTAGCCCAATCGTGAAAATTTTCAGACACTAACTTCAGATTATGGTGTTGGCAGGTTTGTAGCTTAGATAAGTCTGACATTTCTGAAGCTAGAATCCAGTTATCAACATATATCTTGTGGTGGCTGTGGCGATCTCGAAACCTCTGGGTATTCAACTCTGAAAGACTTCCTGAAACAGTGATTGTCGAAAGAGCAGTTCTGGAGTGGAAGGAGTTCTGCCATGTTGCTGCCAAGTAAAGTCTGCTCTAGCTCTGTTCTTTGTAGTTGATGTTGCTGTTGGTTTGTTCTTTTCATTTTCTATTTTTTCTGTGGCTTTGTTTGGTTAGTTTGCTAGGTGCTTTGTTGTGTTATGTTTGTGTTATGTTCTGTTCTTAGGTGCTTTGTTTGGTTTGCTAGGTGTTCTGTCCTTACTTTGATTTGTTTGTTGGTTTCCTTTGCTACCTGTAGAGTTGTTCTTGTAGTGCCTTGGTTCAGGCTGTTATGCCGGCTTGGTATCTCAGGTTTGGTTGTCTTGTAGACCACTATGCGTAGTGGTTCTCCCAGTTTATTTTTACCAGTTGGTAGCATTGGTCTGTACTTGAATAGTTTTTTATCTATTAGTATTTCCTATCGTTGGTTAAAAAAAAAAAGATATGATCAAACGATGCACATTCGACACACATAATCTGATGGCTAAAATGTTCTCTTTACTTCATATAAACCCCATTTAAGCAATGGTGAAAACCAAAACCTATTATTTCCCATCATATCACATCGCTCCCTCTTGCATTCTCCAATATTTTTCGTAAAATGTGAAAAAAAAATCGGGTCGGGAAGATTCATCCAACAACATGATCGGATTTTTTTACGAAGCATAAGCTTTTACTTTGGACCTTGAAGAATAAACCACAGATCAACTGTGTTCGACACTAATTTAGAAGGTTTGTCAAATATATATATATATATATATATATATATATATATATAGATGGTGGTCTAAATTTTACAAAATCAAAGGCAAAATGTCTGAACCAATATTGATCTATATTTGTTTTTCAGTTTTCAGATAAAATACAAAAGATTAAAACATATTTATGTACGATTTTCTTCGGTTGATGTTCGTTTTGTATATTGCATGTCTAAACTAACACTGATCTAGTACAAAATTCAAGTTTTTTTTCCTTGAAATACGAACTATTCAAACCTTTTAAAAGTTCGTTTAAAAACAACAAATTGAAACTCAAACTTTATTTTATAGCATGTATCTTTCAATGATTTTATCGGCTCTTTCGCCCGTTGCAGGTGAATAGTTCTATTTTGTTATAATTTTTGTTCATGAGAGAGATTTGGCATTTGATTGGAAATGTCTAATGAATTGTTCTCGTCTGGGTTTAATTAATTTACAAAGTGGTGACTTTGATATACTTAAACGCGGTTTGGGCTGATCTCTTTTTTTTTTAATAAAAAGTAAAATAAAAAAAGTAAATTAAGCTTTAATAACAAAGTAATATAAATTTATAATAACAAATATGAATTAAATTGAACAACCTAGGATTTCCACTAAATTCTTATACTCAGTCTCAAATTTTGTGTAAAATAATTCTAATTACACGGAGCGTACCATCTTTGATCGTACCAAATTCACACCTCATCATGTTTAATTAATTTGTGTACTAAACAGAAAATCGAAAAATTGATTAAGAGAAGGCATTGTGGTACTGTATTACAATTGATATGAAATATGTAGTCATATTACAATTAGCTCCGATTTGCCACAATATTTCTTTGATTTTTACATATGTCCATTTCATGACCATTGTCTATTAAGCAAATCTGCAAAAAATATATATTGGATCGGATTGCACAACAATAATATAAATCTATTTAACATAATAATATCTAGTTACCATATTCTTT